TACATATATATATATATATATATATAATATATATATATATATATATATATATATATATATATATATATATATATATATATATATATATATATATATATATATATATAAATACTAGGTGATCACTTCTAAATGATGTATATGTAAATTAAAAAATTGATATTGAAACTGTAATATAATGGGGGGATTGATATACCTTTCTAGCAGCGCTGTTGTCAAGACAACAATCCCTAGGCACTTTGACGAAGGCCACCGCGCTATTCTTTATACATTTCGTGCCCTTCTGTGACACGTCGTCCCAACAGCATAGGCGTGACTTTCAATATGTCTAGTGGCCGAGTTATATTTTTTATAAAAATAATCGAGATGGGGATATATCCCGCGACAAAAGAAACATGAGCATCAAGCACCGATTTTCCGCACTAAGCTTCGGTGAATAGCCAGCAAGAGATACGTAGATCGTCGTCCATACTCTACAGCTTCCGGTTAATTTTGGAAGCGCTCGAGAAATTATCTACGGCAGAAAATGCCGGTGCATTATTGTCGCTCAATACTATAGCTTTCTTTTTTAATTGTATTTCACAAGTCTCGAGCGATTGCAGTGTTGTTTGTACTATCTCGGTGTTTAGGTTGTGGTTTTGCATGACCATATCGAGATATCTTGTCTGTATTGGATCGCCAGACATATCTGTATATATTATGGCTGCTCCCAGTAGACTGTATCCTCGCTAACCATAATATTTGATTATTTCTTTTAGGTACCGCTGAGACAGAGTTTTCTGTGTATGATCAATACTGATCAATAGTGATTCCTCATCCAATTCCACCAGTATTCGCTCGATTACGATATGCAAATCGGTTTGAAACCTAAAAGATCTGCTTGTCTATGAATTATCTTCAACACCGGCAGAATATGAGTCAGCTCGGAATAGTCCATGTCGTGACCTAGATCAGGTGCACTATCTAGAAGGGGAAGAGGTGAGCTTTCATTTAGAAAGTCAACGAATTGTTTCTTCTCGCCGCTACTATCCAACCCAGGGATATTGGTCGGGAAAGCTCCAATTGTACTAGCTTATAGTTGTATAGCTTGTACATCAGAACCCAGTCTATGCGCTTTCCGTTTGAGGTTTTCTCGTACGGACGCTTCTATTTGAGGCACCATTGTTACAATTCTCACACAAAGCATGGTCTTCGTGGGTACACTTCGAACCCCCCATGGTACACTAGGTACAATAGAAATAATCTCCATCGCATTCACTAGCATCGTTGTAGTTGCAATATTTAGCATGATCATGTGTATGAAAGCTCTCTAGTTATTTCACCTTGCAAATGTCGAGCAAAATTTCATCTGTTACATGAACATGGTATAATGATAGGATAGGCTCGCCTGCTGTTGTGCCGGGTTTGTCAGAGTGAAAAAAAGTACGATCAATTTATTTATACGTACTATCAGATTTGCTCATTGTATCGTTTCACTGCCACGAATCCTCACAATATTTGTAGGTGTTCTATTTTTTTTTGGCGGTCAGATAGGAGGTCCAGCTGAGATAGTATACGTCCACGACCTGAGGGCGTTATGATCCCTAGGTTATTTCCCCCGTCCACCATCGGACGATGTACATGGTAAATCACTCGACTCGAGTCTTTTACGTTTCTTTGCTGTACGAAGATGTATATTTGGAATCTGCGAGCCAAAAATTTGATCGGATAGTTCTCAAATCACTCTCTTGTTAAATTTTGTCATCATGTACGGTATATCCTGGCTAGCCTACAGTCTGCAAAGGATCTACTTCGAAGACAATCAACTATGAATCCTGCTCGCGAAAGGCCGCAAGTTCACTGCAGCCTGCCTCGCCTCCTTCCATGCAGTTATGAGTGCTATATCGAGTACGGGGTTGCTGGTAACCTCAAAGCCGGAACACCGCCTGCACTACTTCGCCGACGCCTGTCAGATAGGACTAGGCTCAGCGCTCTTCGAGCGCATCCCCCGACCAGACGACAAGCCCACCGCCTTTCCTCCAAACTGGAAGCAGCCTCACACTCGGAAAACGATTGACGCCTACGAAGGACGCCGAACTGCAGTACTTGCGGAATGTCGAAATTAACGAGGACATGCTTCTCTTGGCCCAATCCGACAGACAGCTTACTGAAGCGATTGCCCTCAGTAAGGAAATCACGGCGCGTACGCCTCGCCCTAACGACTCCTCCCCCTACCCGTCTCCCCTCCACAGAAGCAAACGCAACCAACAGTAGCCCAACTCTCACCCCACAAAAAGCGCCATGTCGATTCCTCTGTTTACCTGGCATACCGAGGGATGCTGCTTCGAAAAACGATTGACGCCTACATCCAGGTTGAGAAGGACGCCGAACTGCAGTACTTGCAGAGTGTCGAAATTAACGAGAACATGCTTCTCTTGTCTCAATCCGACAGACAGCTTACTGAGGCGATTGCCTTCAGTAAGGAAATCACGGCGCGTACGCCTCACAAACCGTCGTATTAAGTTTCATCGAGCCGACCACGCCCAACCTAGCAGTGATCCCCCTCACGATGGCCGAACTCTCAGCGTACCTCGCCACACATACCTCTACAGGTTTCCAATCCAGGCCAACCAGCAAATACCGAGTGCATCACCGAACTATGATGGATAACCAATACTATTGTCCCTACTCGGTATTTCGTACCTTGCACTAACCCATTCCACGGCATTGCACGGTGAAGACCCGATCCGAACCACAGAGGTGGACAAGTTACTTAATAGGTCAGCAAGCGAATACGTGGCACACTCGATGGTGTCAGGTTTTTCATCAGAACGACCCAGCGCATATCCTCCATCGTCGACTCACGTGGCCCAAGCTTCAAACGGAAATTTGCTGACCACTTCTTCCCATCGATCTTTCCCGACCCACTACAACGGCCATGAGAACCATACCATATGTACATACATTGTAACCGACAGAAGTACTCTCATTTGTATAAAATACAATTTTAAAACTTCATTTAAACGATGAAAACAAAACAGTCAAAATCGCTGTTAGTACGTTGTTGGAAAACCGTTTGTGTAGTATTCCTCATAGTATCTGACATGTATGAACGTAATGGTATACGTTAAACTTCTATATGTATACTCTCCTTTAAAATAAATAACATTATCCCTATACAGTCAAAGGAGTGACGCTGGAGACAGAACGTATCTTGCGCTGCCTTTGGACAGTCCGCGAAGGTGCGCCTGCCGGCTTACCATGGCATATCCCTCATAACCCACACGTGCCCTCTATTTGGGTGAAATACGACACATAGACGACTATAAGATCTTTAAAAAGACTAGCAGAGGCTCTGCCTATGTCGAAATGTCGAACCTCCCTCCGCCACAGAGATTCATCCAGTGGTGCTTCGTAGCTCGATGTACAAGCCGAATAATCTCCAAATTTACAGGTCGGTCTCTGAGCTCAGGCAGCTTGCTGCCATCTCTTGCTCGTAGATGGTAACTATGATTTTCCCTACTATGAATCACGTATGGACCAAGCAATGGTTTCATGGCTTTGGTTGTCGCTCCCTGTGCGAGTAAAATGACGACGTCCCCCGCCTTAAATTCAATCAAATCAAATTTACGCAACTGATCCGTAGCCTCGGCCATGGCATCAGTATATTTAATTGTTTTCTGACGAAGTTTTGGTAGGATAGTCTTCTCTAAATCATCTAATCTCTTCAACCAGGCATCGCTCGTGGTAGGAATATGACCAGGTAAGTCATTAGTCATGTTTGCAAACGGGACATACCGTCGACCAAAATAAACACTGAATGGTGCTGACTTGTGACGTCGTGATATCCGAAGGTTCTGGTATAACATAGTAAACGGTAAACGTTCATCCCACAACTCCGAAAAACCAACACATAATGCGCACACACATTTGTGGATTTCTTTATGTCGGCGCTCCGCCGCCCCCAACGTCTTGTGTATAATGCCCAATGCCCGTGTAATGGATTTGACAATACTGTTGACAAATTCGGTACCCTCGTCACTCTGAATCTTACGAGGAAATCCATGCTCACCAAACACTGACACTAACTCTGACTTCCGATCCAGGCCAGCCAACACATACCGAATTCATTCGTGGTCTGGTGCGGCATTGGCTTACCCCCATCCCCGCTTCTCGACCGGATTATGACGGATAACCTGGTCCTTCTCGGTATTTTGTACTCTGCACTAACCCATTCCGCGGCACTACACGGCGCAGATCCGATCCGTACCACAGAGGTGGGTACTCTACTTAGTAGGTCAGCAAGCAAATATATGGAACATTCGATAGTAACAGTG